CTATATATATATATTATATATATATATATATATATATATCTATATATATATATATATATATATATATAGGTGGGGCACAAGTGTAACTGCAGTTGATTTCTTTTATAGTATTAGTTCTGTACATTGTAAAGCAAAAATATAAATACTTTCGCAGTCGCAGTCGTCACCACAGTCACCACACCGACACGGCACATGGCGCACGGTCACGGGACACGGAACCGTACAGCAGCAGCAGCTAGCAGAATGCACGGTCATTGCACATACTAAGCCAGAAAGGAAAGATTATAAAATATCATAACAATAAAAAGCACGTCACAAATGGTCATTGTGGCGGGCCAGGAAGGCGGGCGGGTTGAAAAACAAATGGGACAATTCTGATATTGACACCATGACCCGAAAATTGCACCCATCCAACTGACAGTGGTCCATATAACACTTAAAAGTTCGAACTTAAACGTAAAACTTTTTGATTATATAAGTTTAGGTTAGCTGCTGATTGTGGTGCTGAGGCGGAGCGTCTGCACTTGTCGTGACGCATATTTATGGAAATAAACGATGTAGCATCAGAAAAAACAACAAATCACATTGGTGATTGGTGCGGTGCCTGTGTCATTCACATTTGACATTTCACATGCCTCAGAAAAAAGCTCCTGGTTGTCATGCCGCGGTGGTTTGAAATAAATACATATTTTCAGTTTTAAAAACGGAGGGATTCGAACATAGTATTATGAACGTTTTTAATATACATGTGAAATAGCTTTTCCCACAATAGCAATAGTGAGTATGAAACATAGAACTAATTTAATTTATTACCGAGTATAATTTAACATGGTGGGGTATAGACATCGTAAACTTTGTCACGCATCAACAAGAGTTTGCAAAGTATTTATTTGACAAGTTTCAATATCGAAATAGTATACTGTAAATACAACAATAATATACATTATACGACGGATCAGATAGATGATCCTATATGTATGTATTTAACATAAAAAATTAAATACGGAGAGGACATGGGGTTTCCAATATCAACCGGTTCTTGTTGCTAAGATCCTTGATCCATCTCTCTACTAGCAGCACTTTCTCAAAGCTGCTGGATTCATAAAAGAACAGTTCAGTTTTTAATTCTTATACACACTTGCTTCACCACGAGAACAACTTAGCAGTGAGCTTGTATAAAATCATGGTTCCCGCCAAACTTAGCCGTGTCCCTTCGGACCCCAATTTGCGCAACATCCCTAAGATTGTTGACAAAATTAACCTTCGCAAGTCTGAGGGCAAGACCTTCTACTCCTTCGAATACTTTCCCCCCAAGACCACCGAGGGAGCCCAGAATTTATATGCACGTGTTGAGCGCATGTCGTCTGTCGAGCCGTTGTTCGTCGATATGACCTGGGGAGCTGGAGGTTCAACTTCCGAGATGACACTAGAGTTGTGTACTAATATCCAAACATATTTAGGTATGTGATGACACTGCTACACATGTGTATGAATCTCTACATGAACCTGCCTATGCTATCGGATCGCGTATAGGACGTGGTGTCAGTCTCAGTTTATATGTTGTAATCTATCTTTGTTGTTGTTTTTGAATCGTCTGATCAACCCGTTGTTTAAGGGTTTCGGACTTTTGACTTCAGGCCCGAACATGGTACACAGAAAAAAAATTACTTATTTGGGAGTTCTGTATAAAGATTAACAGCATACAGAAAAAAATGGTAAGGGCCAGCTAACGGTGAGCAGTCTTGTCAACGAAAGCGTCCCAATTATCAGTGTTTCGAGATGGGTGAATGAGATCAAATTTCAACGTACTTAGTCTTTGGGTGCAGCAGTCTTTTCAATCACACAGTAGTCTGCGATTGATCATATCTTGTATTTTTGTGCAAAATCTTAATTAAAATAACAGGGTAATTTTCGGCTTTAACACCCTGCACCTATTGATGTTTGGGGATGGCTGAATTAGATCAGCTTTCATTTTGATGTCTAGTCTTTGTGCAGGTGTTTTTTTTGTTTGACCTTTCTCATATTTTTTCAATTTGAGGTTTATAGCACGGGCATATCTTCATAACTTGGTGCAAGATGTCAAATATCTTTGCACAGGGAATTTCTAGCTTACTACAAGTCATTTTGTTACTTCAAGACGTAGTAGGGGTATACTATTTGCACGCACCTCTAAGCATAGGCAAACCTTGTAAAAGTTATGTCGCGGGTATCTACACTGCTGTCAAGTTTAGTCAGGAAATGTCCCTCCTCGTATCCTTGATGTACGTATTTGCACATATGTGAGCAGGCAAATGTGAATATGTACAATTCACTTACCATTATCAAGGATTTGCATCACTCCAATTTTGTCTAGTCAGTTCTTGGATGGCGCAGGGCTACTCGACTTTGCACATAATTTGACACCGAATCTTCAGGTGGGATTGAAAAGCCCTTAACGCAGGTTGCATTACTTGCCTTACAATTTTATTTAAAAATTCAACACAGTGCATCATCCTCTATACGCTACTCAACGAGATTGATAACAAACTTTCTATGACATGAATATAGCGTGGTGTACAATTTCAAGTTGGTGGACTCACGGCTGAATAGTCAAGTATTGTATGTTCATGACTGGCATGTGTGGTGAGGCTTGTATGGTACGACGTTCTATCAATACGTGTGGTACCAAGAGGAGCTGATTTGCATAGTCTGCGTATTTTGTTTACATTTTAACCTGGCTTAGCGATGTTTCAAGGCGACCCCCTTCACAGTACTTAATATTGTATGTGTTGACTTTTTCTGCGCTTTGTTTTTCGCGTCGCAATAGTTGCAAAATCCTTCAAGGCTTCACAAACGTTTCGACTTCGAAAGCTATCCAAGAAATAATTTCAAAATTTTATGGCTTTGAGAGTTCTTATATGAATTCAAAATCCGGGGAGCCGACAGATGGGTTGTGCATTTGCACAAGTCAACGTAGGATATGCTTGATGGCAACGAGAACACTGCTGTAATCATTAGACACCAGGCAATCCTTTCTTATTTGATTTTCCTTTTTATTATGTTGATTATCCTTTCAAGGTATGGACGTGATGATGCATCTGACGTGCACAAACATGCCGAGGTCGATGATTGATAATGCACTCACATCCGCACGTGCCAACGGTGTGCGTAACATTCTAGCTCTACGTGGTGATCCCCCTGCCGGTCAAGACTGGCAGGCTTGTGAAGACGGTTTCGCGCATGCTACTGACCTTGTATCTTACATCCGGTGAGTACTATCATATTAGCTTTTTTTATTATCGCGAGCTTCCGATCATCATTGCCAGCATCGTTCATTCACATGTACTCATTTATTTATTGCTCGTACTCGCTACAGACAGACACACGGCGACTACTTTTGCATATGCGTCGCTGGTTACCCAGAGGGACATCCCGCCGGCTCGCTTGACGGCAAGATCACCTACGAAGAAGAATTACAATTCTTGAAGCAGAAGATCGATGCGGGTGCAGATGTCATCATCACACAGCTCTTCTTCGATACTGATTTATTCTTAGAGTTCATTGACAAGTGTCGCGAGATCGGAATTGATACCCCAATCCTACCTGGGATTATGCCCATCCAGTCTTATGCCGGTTTCCACAAGATGGTAGGGTTCTGCAAGGTCAAAGTACCGCAGTTCATCACCGACCAGTTGGAAGCCGTAAAGGACGACGACGCGAAAATTAAAGAATTGGGCGTTCGCATCGGGGTTGACACATGCAAGAAGCTTTTGGAGTCGGGCAAGGTGCCAGGACTTCATTTTTACACATTGAATCTCGAAAAGATGGTAATGAGCATCATCGATGGGCTGCAGATGGTGCCAACCGACAAAGGTATGCTCAGCACAAAAGTCAAAGATTGTAATTTCACAATTTGAACTTAGATATTGTGAAAGTCTGATTTGCATTAGCATGGTTATTTACCATAGCGGGTTGTCGTATTGATGTGATGATTCTAACGCTCTTTCGATGATCTGTGAATCGCTACTTCGCTGGTACTGTACCGTCAGTTACAATTATCTCCCACCCAATCCGACGATATCCTTTTAAACGTTGCTCGATCGAATTGTCCCTCGCTCCAGCTATTCGATCTCTTCCATGGCGTCCTTCCACCGCCGACAGACGCCGCAGTGAGGACGTGCGACCTATCTACTGGGCCAACCGCCCCAAGAGTTATCTGTCACGCACTGCCACGTGGGATGATTTCCCCAACGGCCGATGGGGAGATCGACGATCGCCCGCGTTTGGTGATGTAGGTAGTTACTACATCTTCAATCCCTCGAGAATGTACAATCCCAAAGTCAAGGAGACGTACGGGCCGTGTGACAGCATTGATGCCATCGCCGATGTCTTCGTGAAGTATTTGAGTGGAGGGATTAAGGTTTTACCTTGGTCTGAAACAGAGATGATTGCCATAGAGACTGCTCAGGTCTGTGTAACAGTCTCTGCTGCGGTTCAAATTTCGCTTGAAATCAATGTCTGTAGTGAACTTTCAAGCTCGACTGATGTGTGGTTTGCAGGTCAGTGATATTTACTATACTCTTGAGGCACTTATTGAATAGTTCTGCCGTCCGGTCAACCGTTTTGGAAGCTTCCGACGTACCGGTAAAACGATTGTAGGATCATTTTCACTTTTGTATATATCTTCTCTCTATTCCCGATTTATTCATAATTTTCTTCACAATCCTATATAGATCAACGACGACCTACTGTGGCTCAACCAAAACCATCTCTTCACTATCAACTCGCAACCGAGAGTGAATGGTGTGCCATCCACGGACGCCTCATTCGGTTGGGGACCTGAAGGCGGCTATGTGTATCAGAAAGCATATCTGGAGTTCTTTGCCACTAAAGACATCGTCGACAAGTTGTTCGAAGCAGTTAAGACCATGCCCAGTTTCACACTTTACGCTGCTAGCAAGAAGTCAAAGTCGATCATGACAAATGCTAAGAGACCTGACACCGCCACGGCTGTTACCTGGTATGTTATTACTCGTAGATGAAAAACTTTTGGTTTGTAGTGTCCCTCTGTTGCTGGAATGGACACTGCAATGCTGTTCATAAAATCATAATCGAGTGCACTATTGTCTGATTTTTAGCATTGGTCGTAAATACTCTATCGCCGTAGAACGTGTATGTCATCTGCACACATTCAGTTTTAATGTATGATGTGGGAAATACTGTAGAACTTCAATCTCTACTGTTTGTCGAAGCTGTCTACTCACATACTCATGTGATGAACACGTTGTTTGTAGGTAATCATAGAGGAGAATGTTTCTGTATTAAAACACCACCCCGAACTGCATTTTCTTTACTTTATTGACTAGAAATCTATTTGTCTGTCTAAACTTGACAATGTTAATTTCCTGAACATAATCTGGCGCTTTTTCATCGGGGGTTCCCGCTTACTGAAACATTTATTTTTAATGAGATCCCTTCCAGCAAATCAGTAATCTATTTGCCTGTCTAAACTTGACAATGTTTATTTCCTGGACATAATCTGGTGCTTTTTCATCGGGGGTTCCCGCTTGCCGAGACATTTATTTCCAATGAGATCCCTTCCAGCAAATCAAGCTTTCGAGAGGAATATCGTGTTGCACACATCGGCCAGATTTGTCTATTTAGATAACTTATCGAATGTTATCATTTCTGTATGGTTGCAGGGGAGTTTTCCCAGAAACCGAGGTGCTGCAACCCACCATTGTCGATCCAGCTAGTTTCATGGCCTGGAAGGACGAGGCCTTCTCTCTGTGGTTAGATGTGTGGATGTCCATGTTCAATCTTCCAGAGGAACAGAAGGCTCGCGATACTATCAAGGTACTGGGGCATCATATATCACTCGATTTTACGATTATAGTTCCATATTGCATTTGACTGGAACATTTCTTCGATTTGCAGGCCTCTGTGCTCTTTAATTATTCAATCGTTAATCTTCAAATAGGGACAAACGCACAATTATTAGTTACAAATCTTTTGTACACCTTCGTAAAAGTATTACGCCCCCTTTTTTATGCGCAGTACATTAACGAGGAGTTCTATCTCGTCAATGTGGTAGACCACGATTTCCGCGACGGCAACATCTTCAGAGCCTTCGACGGTATTTTGCCCGCTAAAAGTGCCTAGGACAGGCACTTCAACTCGCACAGACTCTACGGAGGAGTGTATTGAGTACACGCCATCAAGGGCGTTCAACGGTTAATTAGCTGCTACGCTTAGTTACGGGACTCGTCTCTCTCAATGCTAATGCGTCACCCGCAGTGCGATAGATAGGAATAATGTATATCACCGCTAGACTAGTGCATCGGCCACAGTTTAGGGCTAATCGGATGACGCCGAGTGTGCGGACGTGACACTCGGTATTCTGTCCCCTCTGCCAAGTTTTAGAGGATAAGCAATAAATAGAACCTTTCGTCTTAAGATGAATTTTTGGCGTATGTTCGAGTTATTGAGTATCTGTCTCGATTGTATATTTATTTTCAACTACCTGTTTATTTCAAACCGATTAGACTATCCTTAAATAATAACACCTTCAGAACTTTAGAGGTATATCTTCAAGAACTATAATTGTGATCGCCACTGTTCTTAAGCGTTTACTTGACAGGTCGGAGGCGGCCTCTTGTTCACTGGGGTTTCAGGATTAGATATGTTATTCCCATTTTACAGGATATAGTTATTTTAGTACACCTAAACAGTTTCCATGTCATGCAGAGGGCCTTGAGATTTTTCCCCAATCTTGACGACACAAATTTATTTCCCGTCTTTCAAGGGATTTACAAGTTTCGACCGAGGCATCTTCAAGGCATAATCGTTGCCTTTCGATCACTAAGTACTGACTCCAGCCCTCTAATATGGAGTTGTGGGTTTGTGGCAAAATATGAGGAATGAATTGCGACAGCCTTGCTCATCACCTTGAGCAATAGAACATCGATAGAATCCGCAAGATATATCGCGACCAATACCAGAATGAGCCGTATAGTAGACTATGCTTAGCATTTTGGCCAAGCAACGATATGTGTCTTCTGGGATGCCTCAACCGAAGCGACAACAAGCGACTTTACTGTTTACAGTTTATATGTTGTGACACTGGTAGAACACCAGTTCGGCAACCGATTGCACATTTTGCGATTTTCATATATACGTGTCCCGTCATATTATGCGGGCGCTTAGTATTGAAAATCACGAGGGAAAGCAATGGTTTTGTAGAAAGGTACCACAGTACACGCGTGTACGTGTTTGGTAGCGGTATAGACAATCTTACGATCAGACTACGTGAAAGTCTGTAATCAGCATGAACATTGAGCAAGAGTTCCGGTGCGTGTGAGGAACCATACTGACGGATGTGCGGCCATGCATGTGTATCGGTCGACATAAACAGTCGCACTACCAATAGAGGGATATCTAATGTGCGCTCTATTCTCAACTACCCCTCTCGGGCTACCATTAGATCGCTACACGACTTCAACAAGTCAAAATTACGCGGTTTTTATTTAATAAGCCCTCTACAAACTTATCTTCACACAGTGTTGAAGGCGCCTGTCACTACAGACTTGTATGTCTATTCAGTTCTCACTGTGTCGTGACACTTTAGTTGAACGTCTCAGTTCGGCAACGATGGTGCTTCTCCGGCTATCATCACTGCACATCCGTAGTCTGAAACTTACGATTTGTAGACCTATTCAAAGTTATTGTCATCTTTAAGGTTTAGCTACCAATACTCATGGTGCACACCAGGTCACATGGTCTTATTTGCATGTAGCTGTACTTCACCCCCTTAACTTATTGAGCCAAAATTATCATCAAGCAATGATCGAAGAGTTTAGAACTCAACACCGTCGAAGACACTGGATACGATGGCCTTGTAGTTGACGGGGTTGCCTGAGATACGCTTGAATCGTACACCGTTGAGTGACAAGCGAGGCAGCTTGCACACCTCCATCTCCCACTGGCACGTAGCGTGTGTGCAGATGAGTAGATAAGGCTCCGGTTTCTCGTAGTTGATGTACATGTTTTTCAGCAACGTCTCGAGATCCGTCACCATCAAATCGGCATCCTTGGATGATGTGGACTTCATGTTGAACGTGAAGCGAAGCGTGCGGGGCCCTGATCTGGGAAGCACTGCTTCGGCCGGCTTGGCCGCTGTATGAACACAGGACCGCACAAATTAATGTCAGATACATATATGGCTACGCTAATATGATCTGTGTAGTTGGAATACTTTTGTGCTTCGAGACGATCAACCGATCGATCAACATGATAGAGGTGCGGGAAAGTTTAGAATTTGAGGATTGCTACGTAGGTGTTGGGTTCTTGAGCTGAGTGCTTTTTCTATGGAATAGATATAATGAGATATGTTCTGAGAAACGAAGACACATACATAAAGCAGATAAAAATACCACAGGGATGAATTAAGTCTAATGTACAAGCACACCAATGCTTTAACTTCTATTTCAAATTTACACCTACCAGGTCTGAAACCGAGGCCATCGTTTGAGTCTCGGAGGTTGGAGCTGCGTGCTGCGTTGGTGTCCTTCGTTGTCTGGTTTTGAATGATGTTCTCTGGTACTGGAGGGGCTGCACCCGCACCCACTGTACTGCAACGGTTCCGGTTTCTGGCTGCAACCGCGCTCGACTGTTAAATGGAAAATAAAAGATGAGTGGTGATGAAATGAGACTATCTAAGGGTTCTGCAAGCGGTTCCTACTTTACCGGGTTGAAATATACACATTTGGGACACGCCCGAAAGTTTAAGGCTTTTAAGGGCGAATTGTCATGAACTCCTTGCACAATATGCTTTTACAGATAACTTTTCATTTCAAATGGTGTCATAATAAAACTAAATCGAACACACAGATGCACTCCCCGATGAGATACCTGTGAGCCTGACTTGACCTCCTTGCTGAGTACCTGTGGTACTGCTCCTCCCTCCTGCTTGCGGATACTGTCCAGACGCTTGACCATGGGCGATTGACCGCCTGCGGTCTTGGCGCCATATTTGTTGTCCAACTTGGGTGTGTGCCGGGAGTTGGCGATGACCATTGCCTGCGTGGCCTGTGAGCAAAAAACCATAAGCATGAACATGAGCGCGAAGAAAATGGCAAGTTTGCCAAGCAGAATGCGCTTCGTGTGGAAAGGCAAGATGCAAAGCAGCTAGTAATATTATGGACAAGGATCTATAACCTAGGGCCTACTACGTAGCTAAGAGCTGAAAGCCGTTCACTCATTCATGGGCCTTCTACATTCAGACGACAGCCTGTTGTCACCACATCGCAACAGCTACAAGGCGTCCTCACGAGTTAAATGCTCCGACACTTGTAAGGATTATCAACTCATATCAGACATACTTGATCTGTATCCTTGGTGCTGACCGTGTGGCGGCGTCTGGAGGATCCAGGAGTATTCGGTGCAGTTGAGGGTGTACGTACAGCCGTACGATGATGATCCTGCGAGATAGGCTGCATAGCGGACGGGTTCGCGCGGCGGGATAGTGGCGTATTTGGAGCCGTCTGATTTTTATTGTTCCTGCTTCCAATGCCCATCGACTCGAGGTCCTCACTTAGACCTCTCAGTTGCTTGGATTTCTTTGCTTCCTGGATGGCTGTGTGGTTCATATAGATATGGAAGAGGATGTCAACTTCTGCTCCGTGCTTGTGACTCTTAGTTTGCAAGATACTTCAAAAGGTTTAGCGCATACACGATACAAGACAAATAGTGTGTTCGTTTCAAACTGTTAGCTCTACCTATGACTTATATGAGTGTATGTGTATATTTAGCAGTATCGAAATGAGAATCCATTGTGAACCAAGGGGCAGATGTAAATGTATCACAATGCAGCAGAGAAAACTTTCTAAAGTAACACAGAGAGGAAGCTTATTACTACTATAGAATAGCATATATATTACAGTTTTCTGAGGGATAAGGTTCTGAGAATTAAACCTACTACAAGAAATCCAGTATATTCTAACTGTATAATATACTTTGTGGTAACTCACCTTTGACATCTGCGTCAAACTGGTTCTTGTTCATTCGCTTACGCGTACCCAGCAGTAGATAAGTAGACGTGACGTAGTCGTACTTGCCGGATAGGAGCGACTCCTTGATTTCCTCAATTGTGAACCCAAGACTTTCCATGATCTGGAATCGTTCTTCGTCGTCGAGCTCAGTTTCATTGGCCTCCACATATGGCACGAGGGGCGTGTCAAATCCAGTGTTGAGCCACTTGTCATTCATGATCTGGGGAGAGTTGTAGTGATGGGACTTACTCAAAAGCTGGAGAGACAATAAAGCGGGCTCGCTCGGAGTATGTCTTTCACATAGAAGAGTTTACAACGGCGATTAGCATGTTCAGTGCTTGAGGACAATACTAAATCATCAGTACAGGAGGACACTCGACACTCAGGACTCAACAAGGGATTTTTTTGACAGCTACGCAAGAAGTGGGAGGATCGATTAAACTGAGACCTGTTCATGTAGGCTTTGAAGCTTTGCAACGTTTCAAGCGTTGTCGAACAGCTCGATACACTAGCGTCATCAAACTGCCAGACAAAACTAACTTTGTTTCATATCGCACACGCACGTATCCATACAGTCTAAATCATAGGTACGTGTTAAGATAGGTGTATTTTGTCTTGTGATTTGCTTGGGTAAAATATAAGGCTTTTAAAAAAAATTACTGAACAGGAGTCAAAAGCTGCGACACATACCTCGTTAATGGAAGCACGCTTTGATGGCTCCTTATTGAGGAACAGCTTCAAATATGACTCGCATTCGGTAGACATGTAAAACGGAATACGGTATTTGCCCTGAATGACCTTCTCACGCAGTTCCTACAATTAAAGGAGACAGTTTGGAATAATTATCAAGTTAATTAGCTAGTACAGTATTTACTGTTCCGACACCCTTTCAAGGGTAACGAGAAGTGCAATAAAATGTGTCAAGGCAAGGATCTACTTCCAATGGGGCATGAATCGACCATCAATGTTCTGTACAAAACTACGCACCTTAATGCTGCTTCCATCGAATGGCAGAGAACCACTGACCACCGTGTAGAGAATAACTCCCAGACTCCAGATGTCAACTTCAGGTCCTTCGTAGACAATACCCTGGAACAGCTCAGGGGCAGCGTATGGAGGACTGCCACAGAAGGTATCCAGCACACCACCGGGCGTGTAGGTGTTTCCGAAGCCAAAATCAGCAATTTTAATGTTCATGTCCTTGTCAAGTAACAGATTCTCGGCCTTCAAGTCACGATGGATGACGTGCTTTGAGTGGCAGTACTGTACAGCACTGACGATCTGTCGAAATTTCTGTCTGGCCTCTTTTTCTTTCATCTATAAGAATATATAATTTTTTTTTAGGCTTTAATCCTAAAGCGTAGACTTGATGTAGCAAAGAATACATTGTACCAGATGTTATTAGGTAATGAGAATTTACCGAAATTGTTACCGTAGAGCTAAACAAGTGCAGTTTTAGCACAGACCTTTGCACTTTATGTCGTAAAGACCACCAGCTTGCATGCGAGTCTTCATTCTGTAATATGCAATATGAACATCTCGACACTTACCTTTCCATGGGCCACGAGGTAATCGAAAAGCTCCCCGCCGCTGCAGAACTCCATCACCAGATACAGCACATTGGGAGTATCAATTACTTCGTATAACTTGATGATGTTTGGGTGTTCGAGCATTTTCATAATTCGCACCTGTCGTTCAAAAGTATGTGTCGGATGAAATCAGATATTAAAATGAAGACTTTGTTGATAATTGAATTTGTCATGTTTTACATTATATACGCATAGAATAATATAAAGCAATTTAGACTGGGACATATATTGGCAAAATTTTAGCAATAAAAGGCAGATCATCACATGCCTTCTGATGCCAAGAATTTGTAACTATATTAATTGATTACTTTCTCAGGCTAAAAACAACAGCGTGACTACAAGGTCGAAAGGTTTGTACATAACAGTATCGACACACCTCACGGAACAGTTTGGAGAGGGTAGTTGGGCTGAGTGTTGTTTTGTCGATACACTTTACAGCTACCTCTTCTCCGGTGAGAATATGAACGCCCAGTTTGACCTTAGCGAAGTTACCGCGCCCCACGGTTTTCTGCAACCTATAGTTGCCTGTAATTAGAGTGCGAATGAGTTCTTCTCGATATGTAGCTGAAAAACTGAACGATTCGTCGATAATGTTCTATATGTATGTGCTGTATCGAAGAGGCTGGTGTATATCGACTGCAATAGTAAACACACATGTGTAGTCAATCGTGTATTCAAATACACAGGTATGCAAATACTTGCAATAGAAGTATAAGAACGCATATATGCATATACTTTAACACACAACATAAGTCTGTTGATATACACACAGGCATTCTAAGAACATTCATGTAAATCGATACTTTCCTCATGTGTATCAGAGCATACAAATTTACAAACTGCAGTTTCAGTATTATTTAACGAGCGTAAAATACGGATTGGATAGTAACACCAAAAGTTTGGAGACATCGTTTTTCGTTCGTCCCAAAAAAGAATTTATAATTTACGTTAACTTGTAGCCAAACGATACTTTTAGCGAATGTGTACCCACTCGCTGCCTATTCGCACAAATACGTAGCAATGATGTATATATTGGACAGAATTAAGAACATAATACGAAAAATCTATTCACACATGTAGACACACACATATACTAAAATATACAGGAGACACATCAACCAAGTTCCTAAGGAAACCTGATTGATATATACACTATATACATGATTGCACACACGAACAAACAGAAAAATTCACTCATGCTTCCATAAAAAGAAAATATATACATATACATAACTATATATATATATATATACACACACACAGACACAGACACAGACACACACACACACACACACACACACACATATATATATATACTAANAANAA